TGCTTCATCTTTCTTCCATGGAGCAGCTCATGGGTTTGAACTGCTGACCTTTTGGTTAGTAGTGAATATCTTAGCCCCTGTAACACCAGAGCTCTTTTGTATAAGTATATAAAGCTTAATTGGAAATTAACATTTTCCTCTGTTAGATCTATAGTGATTCTTGGTTTTTCTTTTAATCATTATATAAAGTCCTTCCTTGTCTCTTATGGTGGTTTTTTGTCTGCAAAAATGGCAAGGAGGCCACATCTTCTGACCTCCTCTAACCCCACAAGAGGAAGACAGGATCACCATCAACAGCCCAAGGCCTATTCCTGAGAGGCCAGACATGCTGCCTCCTTCTAGTCCTTTCTCCAACTGTTCCTCCCAAAGCACTTACCACCTCTCTCCTGGGTTTGATAATTCGCTGCAGTGGCCACACAGAACTCACGGATTATGGGGTTTATTAGGAAAGCACTACAGGCTACAATTCGAGTTCAGGAAAAATGCTCAGCCTCTCTCCCAGCCCACCATCCCTCAGCCAACAGTCTCTCACAGTCTCTTTCCCAGCAGTGCTGGTCCCTCGGTGTCTCACTTAGCAATGCATGTCTCTTGCGTCTCTTTCCCAGCAACGCATGTCTCAGGAGCCTGTGTCTCTTTCAGCAGCATGTCTTCCTCAACCAGCAGTCAGAGAGAGTTCTGCCTTTAGGAGGCCTCCTTTTGAGCCCGGCAGGGTGGTCAAACTAGCCAATCATAGCATCAGAACTCTAAGCACTTGAGAGAGAGTGCGCACCTCCCAGAACATTGTTTCGTGCCACTCCCAACAGAAATATTCCAGGTGGACATCTTCAGCAATCAGGAGCTCCTCAGTTGCTCATAGAAAATCCCACTTTGGAGTTTATAAGACTTATGGGTAGAAAAGCCACACTAAGTAATTTACTACACCACATTGTCTTAGAGTCAATTTATTCAGAAATTAATATTACCACTCCTGCTCTTTTTTGGTTGCCATTTGCTTGACAGATCTTTTTCTGGCTCTTGATATTTAGTCTGTTTTTGTCTTTATCTCTAAGATGTGTCTCTTGTAGGTTATGTTTTCTTATCCAGTCTGCAACTCTCCGTCTTTTGAGTGGTGCATTTAATCCATTTACATTCAGTGTAATTATCGACAAGTATGAATTTGTTGCTGTCATTTTGTTATGCTTTTTTTTTTGTGGTGTTCCTGGTTTCTTTGTTCTGTATAATTTTCTGTGCTGAGCTCATTTTGTTTATGAATTGTGTTTTCATTTCCTTTGTTGCTGTTCTTTTGGTATTTGGTACATATTTGTGCTTGTCTTCTTTTTTATTGTATTGTGAAGGTTTATAATTTTTCTTTGAGGTTACCCTATGATTTATAATTTTCTCCCTGAGTTCAGAATAAGCCATTCTATCTTCCAACTCTCTCGACTTTCTCACCATTTAGGAGTTCTGTAAGTACACAGTTTTTTCCTTCTTTTTGTTTTGTAGTTGTCCTCATTTGCCAATTGATGTCTCTGGTTCTCTGTTTACAATCTTGTAAGCTCATTTTACTTTGGATATATCCATAGCTTTGTTGGTTTCTGAGTTATGTCATCTTGTGTATTAATGGTTGGTTGTTTTTTGCTATTATTGGTTCTCTGTTCAAAGGACTCCCTTTAGTGTCTCTTGTAAGGTTGTTCTGTTTTTAACAAATTCCCTTTATTTTTACTTATCTGGAAATCTCCTAATTTCACTATCATATTTCAGGGACAGTTTTGCTGGATATATAATTCTTGGTTGGAAATTTTTCTCTTTCAGGTTTTTATGTGTACTGTTCCATTGCCTTCTTGCCCACATGGTTTCTGCTGGGAGATCAGAGCTTATTCTTATCAGTTGTCCTTTGTAAGTAACTTTTTGTTTTTCCTGTGCGGCTTTCAGGATTCTTTCTTTGTCTTTGGTTTTGATAAGTTTGATGATGATATGTCTTGGTGATTTTCTTTTGGGGTCTATCCTGGTTGGGGTTTGTTGGACTTCCTGAATGGATATATTCTCATCTTTCATCACATCAGGGAAGTTCTCTTTTAACAAATCTTGGACAATTTTCTCAGTGGTTTTATTTTTCTCTTCCTGTTCTGGAATGCTGATTACACATGGTTATTCCTTTTGATGGTATCCCACATGTACCTTAGGCTTTCTTCATTTTGTTTTGATCTTTTTTCTAACTGATGCCTTTCCAAAAAAAGTATTCAGGTGTTTGTCTTCAATCTCGTTGATTCTGCCTTCCATTGATTTGATTCTACTCCTTAGCCCTTTCAATGTGTTATCTATTCCTGAAAATTGAGTATTAATCTTCTGGATTTGTATCTGTAGATTTTGTATCATTTCTGATTTTTCATTTATTTTGTCATTTTCTTCTGAAATTGTTTTAGGGTTTTACCTGTGTTTTCCTTAATTTTCTCGGTGTTTTCCTTGATATGTCTCTCAATTTGTTGACAGTACCTAAGTATAATTCTTCTGAATTTCTTATCAGGGAGTTCTAGTGCTGCTTCTTCCTCTGGGATGTGTTCTGGGTCTGTATCCTGCTCCCTTGTTTCTACTGCTTTATCTTGCTTCTTTGTGTGGACAGTGATGGTCTGTTGTCTCCAAGAGACTGTGACTTTGTTTTATTTATATTTAATTGGTGATTGTATGCTGGAGTGATTCACCCAAGATTTTCGTTTTCTTTTTGGATGTATCTGAGTAAGCAGGTTGCTGTGCTTCTCTATTTGCTAGTTGGTAGCACTTATGCACTCACCACCTGTCTCCTGGTGAGTGTGATAGAGAATGAGAGTGGCTGCACAGATCTCTGTTAACTGTTTGTGAAGAGCAGTTAAGGGTGAGTCAGGCTCTCATTGGTCATGTATTGCTGGCCAGTTGGTACAGAAGGAAGTTGTGGCTCTCAGTAAGTGGACCTGCAGGAGGTGTGGGTGTGGTTGTGGTTGTGTGTCGTATGGGCATTGTTGCTGTCTCCCATGCAGAGAAAAACAACAATCAAAAAACCATCAAAAAAGTAAAAGCAGGCGGACAGTAGACACTGCATAAACATACAGGAACAATCACAAAAAAGAGAAAAGAGAAAAAAAAGGAAAGGAAGTAAATGAGAGAAAATATTTAAAGAAATATTTTAAAAAGCAAAAAGAAATACACATACAAAAAGGGAAAATAAGGAAAAATAAAAGAAACCAAACAAACCCGCAATATTTGAGGAGGGGGGAATAAGAGAAAAGAGGTAGAGTAGGAGAATAATGAAGAAAAAAGTGGGAAAAATGCAGAAAGAAAAACAAGGAATGGGGAGAACCACATGAAAGAAAAAATAGCAACTAGGAACAGGGAAGAGAGAAAAAGCTGAAAATTAAAACCTGGGAAGGGAAGAAGAAGAATAAAAAGAATGAAAAAAGGAAAAAAATATTAAAACAACAAAAACAAACTAAAAAAAAAAAAAATCTGGGCAGGATGGGGTAGGGCACTCAGGCTCCGTCAGAGCACACAGACTGGGATGGAGTTCGTGCCAGCCCAGAAGGTGCGTGGGAGTGAGGGATGGCCACATCTCTCTTCACCAAGAGGGTGTGTGGTATAAGAGTAACCAGGCGAATACTGCACCTTCTAGTCCTTCGTGTCTGGAATGTCCTTGCAGTCCCCAACAAGTGGAGCCTATTCTTAGGTCCCTGGAATCTGAGAGAACACTGTCACTTTAAATACCCAAAATGGTCAAACTGCTTGTAAATGTTCAAAATGGCTGTGCCTTCTGGGCAGCCAAAACTCCACAGCTCAGCCTGTCTCTCTCTTTGCTGCTTCCTCTTTTGTTCACCAGCCACCACTGTAATTCTCCATGCAGCCCCTGGCTAGCAGCACCAATTTTTAGGTTAATTCTTAGATCCTAACACCACCTGGCAATATCTAAGCTGTCTGTGCTGTCAGGATTGCTGACAGACTGCAGCTCCATATGTCTCCTTTTTTGGTGTTTTCATGTTGATTCTTCTACTAGTTGGGAGTTTAGTCCACTTTTGTATCCTTCCTTTCAAAGTTCAGGACTCCAAGATTATCTTCTGTATCTGTGTTAATTGGTTCCCCTTTTCTTTGTTGAAGAGGGTCTCTGTAATTTGTCTGCCTATCATGCTATTAACTCTTAGTTTTTATTGAATATTTCTTAAAGTACAAGGTAAAAACTAGTGATGATATATTTTGTTAGATATATAATAAGGCAAATGCCAATGTTATTTTTTTTCCTGAAGAGCAACATACCCCAATTAAACACATGCTTATTTACAGTAAAAAATATTTACATTTTTAACTTTAGGCGAAGCTGAATAGCTTGGTACAGAAATGGTTCCCTGAGCTGCCTCTGCTTCATCCTGAAATTGGATTACATAAATACATGGTAAACTGTGGTTTCACTGAGACTTCTCCTCTGCAGAGTGCTGAAAAGTGATAGTATTAAAATTGTGTGTCAGTATTAAATTTATTGTATCCTTCCTGTAAAAATCTTCTTATAAGCAGTTCCTGAGTATTATAGAACTTTTTCTTAAGACTGTGTTTAATAGTGGAATAGTGCAAATTTTTACTTTTATTTTTATATTGATTTGTGTGCTTTCCCTTTTCCTTATGCAAATTCAGTACATTACATGCACTTCTTTAAATCTGAGGTGTTTATTTTTTGAAGTGATAAGTAAATCATTTTCAATTGCTGTTTGAAGAGTTAGGATAAAAGCAGAATAGTGCTAGCCATGAGAAATTTAAACAGATTGTATCTTGTAAGTTTAAACAGGCTGGGGAGAAGATTCTAGAGAATTGGTTAAGGTAGAGCTGTTGATGTGGGTATAGTTTGCTTTGTAGGCAGGATTCAAAGTCTGGGAGATTCATCTATTAGACAGAGGGGTTAGTATGGAGCAGGATTGATGAACTCTCATGCCCAGGGCAGATCTGTTGTCTTATATTGCCTGCTAGGGAGCTCTGGTAGCGTAGTGCCTAAGGCACTTGACTGCTAACCAGAAGGCTGGTGGCTCAAACCCAGTAGCCACTCCTCGGAAGGAAGATGGGGCAATCTACTTCTGTAGTGATACTGCCTCGGAAACCCAAGGAGGGGTTGCTATGAGTCGGGTCCGACTTGA